TATACATATATATATATATATATATATATATATATTCCAAACAGTATAAGAAACTAATAATAAATATTTATTTACGCTTTCAAATTTATTTTTAATAAAATTCTTTATCATTTACGCTCTCAAATTTAAAGTAAATTTTAAAATTTATTTGAATAAAACTTAAACTTCTTATAATATCATGAATCTTTTAAGTTGTCAGTTATAGTATTGTTTAAATATATAATATTATGAATATATTTATTTACGATTAACACTTTTCTGTAATCATTTTTATCCAGTAAACTTATTTCACTTTATTTAGAATGTCAGTTTTTTATTTTTAAAATTAATATAATCTATATAAACTAAAACTGTGTTAAAAAATTTCTAATTTTTTGCTTTGTATTTAATTTTTTTTTTGACAATTTCTTTCTATTTACTTAAGCGCCACTTAAAAATATTTATTTATTATAATTTTTAATCATATAAAGAAATACTTATTGTATGCAAAATACAAATATATATTTTTTCTTAAATATTTTCATTATTATATTTTTATATAAATTTAAGCATGGTACATAGTATCGGGATATTTATCGCATATTTCGTTATAATTAATTTCATATACTTATGGTTAAATATATTTTTTGTCCTCCAATAATTAACTTTATTTAATTTTAGTATTTCAATTTTTTTTTTAATTTTGACAGTGAATAATAAAAAAATTTAAGTATAAAATTAGTTTTTATCTTAAAATTTAACTTAACCATAAGATAATTAATATTTTAAATTAAAATTTTGCATGTCAATAAAATTAATGATAATTTAAATGTTGAGATGATTTATTTTAACAATTTTTAAAAAAGATTAAAAATGAATATTATATAAATTTACAGGATTAAAATCAAGAAATTTTTTTGACATATTTAGTTGAACATTAATTTTCTATAGTAAATACAACTTTTTACACAGAAGTCATGAATGGGGATGTAGCTCAGATGGTAGAGCGCTCGCTTAGCATGCGAGAGGTACGGGGATCGATACCCCGCATCTCCATTTTTTTCACTTCAGGCTATTCTAAATAAATACAAATTGTCAATTTGGAAGTGGAGCTAGATAAAATTAGAAGGGTTAGCTATGAACTTAGTAGGGAGAGAAAAATGAAGAATGGGCCAGCTTTAATTATTATAAAGCGAGAAATATTGACAAAAAATTCTTCACATGCAACGTGCAGTAGCATGAAAGTAATAAATGAGAGTGGGATGTTCTTGACGACATGACCGAACCACCGCCTCACCTCACCCACGTGCCATCTCTCTTTTTTTTTTCTTCCAACTTTTAATTGAGGCAACCGTTTTTGTAAGCTTGCAACCTACATTCATTAATTCTTCCTGCTTGTGGTTAAGAGTTTTTTCGTTTAGCCAGCTTGATTATAATATAACATGTTGGCTTTGTATAACATGGTCTTTTCTTGAGTTTAGTATTTTGATCTTAAACAGTTAATCAAGAACCTTTGGTCTCACTACCATGTAATCACTAATCTATATTTGCCAAATACTATGATATGCTTAATTTAGGATCATAGATTACATAGAGCTCACGCATGCAGCGAATAATGTTTCGGAAAGAGTCTAAGTTCACTGACTATGGTCACAATTTGATGAAATGTAGCGAGTAAGAAGACAGGAGCAATGTTCGGCTAGCAATGGTGGCTAGCTAGTGTGTAAGGGAAATGTCACCTTCTTGGCTCGTTTCCTCTAAGAGGCAGCACTTGAACTTGCACATAAGCAAACTCTAACTCTAACTCTAGTCGAATTTTGGGGTGCAAACAAAGGCAGAAAAGGCTCAAAACCACGTGGTTTCATTCAGGAAAAAATATCTGTCCCGGACTAAAAAAGGAACCGCAACACTTGGCGGGTTAGGGTCCCCACACTTCACTCTAGTGTCAGTAATCAGTATTACTTTCGTTGGCATTACGTTGGTGAATTAAGCTCTCACCACCATCTATTTATTGTCTTGTGCTTTTAATTTCCTCACAACTTCTCTTTCTCCTTCTCCCCCTCTAAGGTCCTACTGCACAAGATTTTCAGGAAACATGGCGTTCTTAGCTCTTCTCTTGCTGGGGTTTCTCTCATGTGTGTATGCTGACACTCATGGTTGGATGGATGCTCATGCAACCTTCTATGGAGGGGGTGATGCGTCTGGCACAATGGGTATGTATCTCAGTTTCACCTTATTTTCTTTTATCATATATTATGTGTTTATAACAAATAGGTGAAGAATAAATTAATGGATTCTCAACCATGGAGTGAAATGAATTGAGTTTGAAAAAAAATCAAAGTCATTTAATACTTATTTACAGCACTGTTTTTAAATTATGCATAATAAAAACTATGTAGTATAACAAACTGAACATTAATTTGGCTACCCTCAACATTTTCTGTTCAATTTCCTCTATTGAACCCTGCATGTAGAAATGATGTAACTAGTACATGTAACATGACAAAGATGGCATGAGAATAACAAGAAAAGCTTGATTTTGAGGTTTATTGCAGGTGGAGCATGTGGATATGGAAACCTGTATAGCCAGGGTTATGGAACTAACACAGCTGCTTTGAGCACGGCCTTGTTCAACAATGGTTTGAGCTGTGGGGCCTGCTTTGAGATCAAGTGTGTGAATGACCAAAGGTGGTGCCTTCAGGACTCAGTTGTGGTCACTGCCACAAATTTCTGTCCTCCAAACAATGCCCTCCCAAATGATGCAGGTGGCTGGTGCAACCCTCCCCTTCAACATTTTGATCTCTCTCAGCCTGTTTTTCAACAAATTGCTCAATACAGAGCTGGCATAGTACCTGTAGCTTTCAGAAGGTACCTCATTTTGTTTCAAATTTTCATATTCTGTTTCTAATTATTTCAGGATGTGTCATAATTCACAAGGAATACCAGCTATAAGCACATTTTCTAAGAGTATGTATAGTTTTTGCTAGGTTCCTAAGTACAAGAACGGTTCTTATAAGATTTACAATGGAGTGACAGAGTACAAACAATTATTACATAAAAGCCAGAATAGTTCTTATATAAAAACCAAATCTCGACGTGAAAATATTATTCTTTTGCAGAAAGTAGAAAGATATAGAATAATAAGTGGGATTCATTAGCTCTTCAGTGATTTTACTGCAGCAGTTAAGAATTGTTGAAATTCTTATATCTAATGCAACTTAATAAGAACAAAAAGTGAGTTTGGAACCGAATAGGCTACAACATTTGAAATGCTCTAATATACTCTTCTTTGTCTATTCTTTAAGATTAGGTGAAATTTATGTAAATCTTACTTTCATAATTAATGAAATTAAATTCATTACTGAATAATGGGGTTTGGCAGAACTTTTATGAATTTTACTCAATAATACTAAAGTGTGCTAGAAAAATCGTGTCATATTGTCTCTTGAACAAATTTAAATACAATCGGTAGATAGTTGACATTTTTAGAATATTTTATTCTATGAAAAAGAACTTTGATGTGAAAGATAAAATAAATTTCGATGATTTCAAGTAATTAGTCTCTCACTATCGATCAGACCATCATATTTTTGACAAAAAAAAAAAAGCTAACAACAAACTCTATCACATTCTTTTAAACACACCCTTTTTCATTGTTTGAAATTTATTATAAAACACAAAATTTGATAACACAATCTAACCACTCATTCTTCTGATTTTATAGTTTTGAATAAATTATGACAGATAAGAGTGAGAATGTTAAGAGGAATGTGTTGTTAGCGTTCCTAAAAAAAAACTTTATTTATATATTTGCCATACTGATTTGTTGGTGATCTATAGGAATCTATGCTTGTCGCATAATAACCGTACCTGTTTGATCTTGATAGCTGATACCTTGGTTTGCCTGCTTTGTCCTTGTTTCAACCAAGCATTGTGATTTTCTTTTTCTTGTGATAACGCAGGGTGGCATGTCAAAAAAGGGGAGGCATCAGGTTCACCATGAATGGCCATTCATACTTCAACCTAGTCCTAATCAGCAACGTTGGTGGTGCTGGTGATGTTCAAGCAGTTTCCATCAAAGGTTCAAGGACTAATTGGCAACCAATGTCCAGAAACTGGGGTCAGAACTGGCAAAGCAACACTTACCTCAATGGACAAAGCCTCTCCTTTAAGGTTACCACCAGCGACGGCCGCACCTTGGTCTCTTACGATGTGGCCCCTAGTAGCTGGTCCTTTGGCCAGACCTTCACAGGGCAACAATTCAATTAAGAGATACATAAGAACATAACAACACTTGAGAGTTGGTTTTGCAAGTGTTGGCACTTAAAATTAAGTGTACCATTTATGGACTATGGTTAGTACTTAGTAGTATAATTAAAAAAGAAATATAATATAGAAGTGATGAGAGTCATTGGGAGCAAATGAGAGGGGCATATTTTAAGATGGCCCTTGTCATTTGGATTGTGTTATGAAGAATTCTGTTCTGCTCTCTATTGAAAAAGGCAGAGTTAGTAAAGGTGGCAGTGGTGGTATAGTTAATCAACCCGCCATTTTTTGTTTATTGGAGTTAGTTCAACTTTTAATTATGGAAGTATGGTATTTTCTAGCTTAGCTATAAAGGAATAGAATTGAAAATAAATGAGGCAGTAGTTTTGGTTCTATATGTCATTGTATTCGACTTTAAGGAGCTGATTCTGTGTAAGAACGAATGGAAGACATGGATGAATAAAATTATGTTTTTGGTAATTAGCTCAATCTATCCTCTATATGAATATAATTTTCATGACATAATCTATGTGCTTTGGAAGCAGACAATGAAGAGAAGCAATGTAACCAAATATTGTCAGTACGTATTAATGTTTGTACTAAGAAGGCTCTCTTTATGTACAGAATAGGATTCTTTAATAATAAAAAAAATAAAAAGGAAAGATAGGATTCTTTATAATATTTATGAAATTGTTCGAAGTTACATACCGTAGAAAAGTAACTTCTTTAGAGATTTTTATTGAAAAGAAAAAGGTTTCACTTAAATAAAATTCCGAAAATCATTTTTTTACGGTCATCATTCATCAAGCACATTCCATTCTATCTATACGTGGAGAGTTTATTAGATGAGGAAAGGTGCTAATATTCATGACTTTTTTTTTTTTTTTTTTTTGGTGCTGAGATTTTTATTCTGTTTTCTAGAGATTGAGAATTTTATATTAACTTTTATTACATTTTTTTAAAAATATATTTATAATTCCTTATATGTATATATTAATTATAATTTTAGTACTTATAAAATTTTATTTTTATAAGTTTAGTCTTTATCTGTGTTTAATAATGATATGATAATCATCTATTGAAAAATAAATAAGACTTTTCGTAAGAACAGAGACTAAAATGAATATATTCTAAAAGAGACCAATATAAAAAATTTAGAATTTTATAAAGACTAAAATAATATCATTAATGATTACAACTGTAAAATATTTTTTTAAGGAACATATATAGTCAGCTATAAGAAAAAAAATTATAAAAACTAAAATCATAAAATAAGTATATTGTAAAGATTTAATTTTTTTAAAAAAAATTTAAACACAAATTACTTATCTTAAAACATACTGTCAATCAAACTTAAGTTTACAAATACAAACATCACATACTTCCAATCAAACTTAAGAGTTTACAAACATCATATGTTGTGTTTAAATTAGTTGCTTAAAAAAGTATTATATTTACACACACAAAAAATTACAAAAACGATATTTTAAAAAAAAATTGAGATAAAATATGTTGACTTAGTTATGTTTTTAGTATTCCTAATTTGAGATATATATTTTTTAGTTCCAAAATTTAAATCATGCCAAAATTTAATTTTTTTATTTCCCAAAATACTAAAAAATTATTATTTTAGTTCTTTATATTTAGGGTAATTTTTTTATCTCTCAATTTTTTTTTTAATTTCTGTAATTGAAAATGATAATTTTTAATACTTAAAAACTAAAAACACAAATTTAAAATTTAAAAAACAAAAAAATATATATGAAAGAACTAAAACAATATATATATATTTTTTAAAAATTATAAAGAACTAAAAACACAAGTTTTAAATTTGAGAGACCAGTAAAACATGTACAAAACTAAAAACATAATTAAACCAAATATGTTCTAATAAATTTTGCCTTTGGTTTGTAATAACTATTGTTTATAGTATTAGTATGTATAACACGACATTAAAGGAGAAGAAATCCAGCATTACTTTAATGTATAAAAGGATAAAATAAAACGGATTTCTGTGTCTTTGTTCATTAAGAATTACATCAAAATTGATATGTAGATATTACTTTCTCGTCCATACTTGCCACTGCCAGACACACAACCAAAGAGGCTCTTTATCTTGTTATAATCCCGAGTGAATGAATTTTGAGAGTTTTGGACATGAATATAAAGAAACGAGTTTTTCATGTATAAGGGGCCGAATAAACTTTCATTTCAAGTAACTATTTTCTAAGACAACTGCACTCGAGTCTCGGGCACATAAAATTACTTTTGTACAAAATTAAAATTTACAGCTTGGATCACTGAGTCAATTCCAAAAATCTACCAGTAAACAAGTTAGTTAACAAGTTAGTCAACATGAATACTTGTATGTGAACAATCTGCATCCTACAAGTCATACAATATATACACCTAAAATAGCCCACTCTTATGAGCCCCGTTGTCCTCATAGGTGGAGAGGCAACCTAATATCGTTTTTGTGGAGATAATTTTCAAGCATTGCTCATGTCCTTATCAGCTAACATCCTTCTCACTTGAAAAAAAAAAAAGGCTAGCATGAAGAGTTGAACCAGTCAATTACTGCAAAATACAACAAATTAGAAACCAACCAACCAAGACAACTTCAAGAATGGAAACATGATGAATATAACAGAGAAGGGCTGCTTACCCTATGGTAGCCATTCTCATTATACATGGCAATCCCACAAGACCCAGAAGCAGAATTCCAAAACTGGTGTCCATTTTCAAACAGTGACCTGGGAAGATCGAAGTTGCTATTAACTTGGTAATCCACAGTGTTTGATTTACTGTTGTTCATTGTTGGGTAATTTTTCACTTCCTCAATATCTGGTGGAGGAGGGTATGCAAACTGGTCACATCGTTGTACATTTAAGTAAGTAGTTCCATTTAACTCATTCATGGCACCACCTCCCTGACCCAATGTATTGACCTGAGGAGAGCTGCCAACTTCAAGTTTATTGTTCCCAATATAACCAGAATAGCTTGGGAGTGAAATGTCAGTTGAGCACTCAGCATCTCTATTGGTATTATCACTGTATGTTATACTATTGAATCAGTAGCTAGATTGCAAAATGAAACACAAGGCTGTGTCAAATTTAGAAAGAAAACTTGATAAAATTACTAGTCTAATGAAACGTACTAATTGGAAAAACAGATCTACTAGCAGGATAACAAGTATAATTTTCATACTAAGCCAGTTCAACAGGAGTAGCACTAAGCTTGTAGAATTGAGAATGCAAGACTCATACAAGAGTTAACCCACCTAAATGATAGATATTTTGGTTCATTAGGTAACATCAACTGATGATTATCATTATTCAAAAGCCAAGACAGGGGTTGGGATTCTTGCAGATTTGCCATCATCAAGGGTAATGTCATCCCTTCCTGCAACTGTGAAGGAACATTATCCAAAATAAGATTTATTCCAAAGAAAAGAACAAAAGATAATGACAAAGAGAGAGAGAGAGAGCAACATTTGCTACCTGGTTAGCACATTCAAGTGACATCAGTTGGTGCTTTCCTAAATTTTCCTGCCAATGAAATCACCAAGTAATTTAGGAAAACATGTAGACATGTTAAAATACAAATCTGATATTTTAGTAGTTATTTAATGGACTGATATATTAGGCATTTAAAGATGACAGAAGGATATGGCTAGTCTACATGAAACAAAAACCTTACCTTCTGGAGGCACACTCGATTGATTGATTTCCGTAGTGAGTCTTCCCTTTGCCTAAGATGTTCCAAGTGATTGATCTTCTCTAGATTATTCCAATAGCTGAAAAAAATGCAAATGTAAAACAATATTACTCTATGATGGGTACTCAAACTTTCATGACCATGCATGTCGACATTGATTTTATATTTGTGCTATGAATTTATGATCATGTTAATGCTGTCAGAGGAAAAAGCTGGTTGAAGTTTGATGAAATTTAATCCATATGAACTGTTCAAATTTATAAAACAGGCCCAGATCCAACCGCTAAGGAATTATTTATACAATTATGGAATCTAGATATTTAAGAAAGGTCAACTAATATAATAATGGTTACACTTACACTTTCCTTACCTCAACAGAGTCCAAGTTGTGAAAAAGTTAATGTGTAACTGTAATCCACACTCACAAATGGTAGAATATGTGATACAAAAGGTGGTATTTAATTGGATTTTTGTCTTCCATCACTAAAATGTAAAAGGTGCATAATGAATATAATGATTACAGCAACGATTCCTTCCCTTTTGTAAGACTACTCGCCAATTTATAATATTATAGTCACCAATAAACTATTAACAAAACATAACAACTAAATATCAATTGCACCAGTTTCATTTTTGAAAGGAAAAAAAAATCAAGTTTCATCAATGCATTTCTTGAAGTATTTTTATGCAATGTGCTAGTGTTTTGTTGAGGGAGGGAGGAGGGGGGTGAAATAACATTTTGTATTATAATTAGTTCTCTTCCATCTATTCAATTCTCTAATAAATCATTTTGTACGGAGAAAGCTCAAATGCCTAATAGATTAAAAAAAACATCAATAATGCTAGCACCAACCATATAAACATGTCTAAAATAAAACTTTATGTACCAGGGAAATGTTAAATGGTATCATCTGAAATAATTTTGACAATATGCGAACAGGGATATCAGGTGTATGATAGGGCACAAAGGAATATGTCAAAATGCACAAGGAAAGGATAAATATGAGAGCTATATAAGGGATAGAAATAACTCAATGATTGCAAAACAATAAACCTGAAAGGCAAAGGTCAAATGAATAATAGTTCAACAAGAGAGCAAAAAAATAACACCAAAAAGAAAAAAGAAATACTTTAACAACCAAAAGCTCCAAAGTTGCACCTCAGTCTCTGATGTACTTCTGTTAGTTGAGCTTGTAAAACCCTCACTTGGTGAGACATTTCCTGCATGTAGATCATAACATTTTGGTTGCTCAACTACCAACTTAAGATTTTATCATTATTATTAAACATAATGATGTCTAATGAAGAAATTGTACCTCCACTGTTTGACTGCTGCAAGGCAGATAAAAAAAGAGCTTAGAACCTTTAAAAGCCTTAGATAAAACACAACGACAGTTTGACTATCACAATCACTTACCTTGTACCTACGAAATCTTGTATTTTTACATCATGATCCAACTTCTTGAAGGTTTTCTTTAGCGCCTACATTTTAAACAAAATAATAATTCTAAGCATCACCAGAAGTTGAGGAGACAACAAAAAATTTGCATTCGATGCAACGAAAGCAGTATATGTAAAAGACATATATGAGAAAAATAAAGTAATCTTACTTCAAGGCTCTCCATTTTCCTGCTCAATAAAACGAGAAAAGAGATTAACTTATTTATCACCAACAAATGAAAAATAAAAACCATAAAGCCTCATCAAAAAGTTTGGCAGACCTTTTGGCCCTTTCTTGTGGGCTAAGTTGAGCAAATTTTGCAATGACCTCCTCAAGATTGCTGGAAATAATAACCAACATGTAAAATCATTAAAAACCTGACATGGATTTAATATTTACATTTAAAGGTGAATTTTATAGTAATATCCAACAAATACACAAGATTCAATGAATTTGGCCTCTTCCAATTTTGTTAAAAAGTTAACACAGTTGTTTGAACATCTAAGTTGGTTCTGGCTTGTAAGAAAAATAAAACTAAAAGCATGAAAATTAAATATGAAAGAGGGGATGTTAAAAGAAAAGGAAAATTAGTTAAGAGTAGTATTAGACTATTAGTATGATTCGGTTTTTTTATACCATTTAGGAAATTAAATCACACTACGTATAAATACATTTTACATATAATAATAGAGTTTGTGACTTGTTACTTTGCTTTTCAGTTATTCAATTATTGCATATACTTAAATAGTTATTTTAGTTTATTGTTCAAGTTTAGCATTGGCAGGTACCAATTATACTTGAAACACCAATAAGGCAAGATTTGTGAACCACAGTCACATAATGGATTATGAACCCCTTATTTACAAATAACCATAAAACCAGTCTGTCTAATAGTCCTAGATAGATAAGGTTATGAATAGATATTATATAACTATAAAAAAAAAATTATTAAACTTAAAAATTTACACACTCGTGATTTGTAACCACACAGTATTAAGATCATAACGAAGATCAGCACAATGATCCAGGCATAAGCTATTCCAACACGATACTTGATCTCACAGCTAAATTCAATTCAGCTGATCCTTAAGAGCTAATAGGAAGAATTCCAATCATAATGGACTAGCTCAGATGATTTTATGCATTAAATAACTGCAACTGAAACAAAATGTACTACATGAGCTGTGAAAGAAATCTCTTATTCAAGATCCACCCAATCACAGAAGTGTAGTAATTAAAATATGGACTCAAATCGGAAGATGTAAAATTAATTATTTCATTTTGATATATACTTTTTTATTCTTCCTAAGATGTTCGCATCGTGATTATCATATAGAGGTAACAATAAAGCAAGTCACAGAAGTTTTTGCTTATGAGGAGACTTCCTTATTCCTGAAATATTACTAAAACTAAATTACATTTACATGCATTGGTCATGAGGGATGTGTAAAACCAATATCTCATTATCCTTCTAGAAGGATTAACACCTAAAGCAAAGATTGTGAACGTTTCTTGAAACAATAAAAGCCTACTCTACAATACAACATATTTTCAAACAAGAAACAATTGAAATTGGGTGAGTTATATGGCCTATAATGTGTGCTATAGAAATCATCATTGTCTCATCTCATAGAAAGGCATGCACATCATTACAAGGTTTCTGGTTTGTACTTCTGCTAAGGCATAAATATGATCAACTCACTAGTAACAACATCATACAGTCAATTCTCAATCATTATTATTACCTGCGCTCTCCTTGTAGCAATGTAGGCTTTCCTGTTGGAGAAAACATGAGAAGGACAATATCTATATCACATAGTATTGATAATTCCTTTGCTTTCTTCAAAATTCCACTTTTTCTCTTTGAAAAAGTGACATGCCGATTGCTTATGCTCTCTAATTTCTTTATCTTCAATTTAACTCTTCCCATCCTGCAAAATTAGGATTAAAAACATTTAGCATGAGCAGTTTGCAGCAAAGAAACAAGAAGCAGCCCACATATGATATATGGCAAATCAAAAATGCAAAAAGGAAGAAAGCAAACCTTTTTGAGATAGTGAAGACAATGTAGAGGAAAAGAAAAGGTGTGAGGTAACTGAAGAATTAGAGCAATATTTGTTTGAGGGAAGACATGCTGATGCAGAGTAGAGAGAAAGATGGAAAGATGGATATGAAATCTAAGAGCTAACAGATTGTTTTGGACGAAAGGTGTAGCTGTGATTTCGGTGGATAGAGTTTGGGGAACCAGCCAGGCTCAACACATGAGAATGGATTGTTGGCAGCGTGTTCTCTACCAACAAACCCAACACCTTTCTCTCTCTCTCTCTCTCTCACATTCGACTTCTCTTTGCCACGTCTTCTTTCTGCATGCGCCTCCAAAATAGCACACGTTATAAAACAAACTCACATGTTTGTTTGTTTTTTTTTTTTTTTTTTTTTTTTTTCCTTCAATT